CTGCTCGTTGAATGTATAAAGTAGGTAACTACATACAGTATAGTTTAACTTCACAGTGTGTGTGAATTTCAGTTTACGGTTAATACGGGGGCTGCTCCAAAAGTAGTGCCTCCTGTTTTGTTCTGTTAAGCAGAAACTTGCTCATCGGTTGGCACGGATGAGTTTAAAAAGTGGATTAGTACTTGTGAGGAGAGACAGTAACACTGGCTGGCCGTGATTCTGTGCTCACCTTCACCCCCATGGGCTCTGGGTGACCGTCAGTGGCCTGTGCAAAGTGCTGGTCCACACAAAAGGCCACTGTCTGGAAGGGGTTTTCTGAATTTGAAAGCTTTGTTATCCCTCTTTGCTTCTATGTGAATGTTTGAGAACGTTACTGTTCTCTTTGAGGAAGATAGCTGATAGTTGAGAATAATGCCTCTGAGCCTTTAGGACTTGTGAAGAATGGGTAGTGACAGGAAAAATAGATATGTACAATATCTCTTGTCCTGTCTCATAAAACAGGGGAATTTTACTTGGAGCAAGGAGAGAAAGAAATTCATCTGCAAAACACTGTCAAATCAGAAGAATCATATGCTTTGAGGAAATAGCTAAAAGACAGCACCAACTAAGTTATTCTCTCTGAACTGTTCTTGTACTAAAAAATACATTCAAAAGAACAGTCAGACCTATAATTGAGCAAGATTGTACGTGGATGTTTGTGAAAGTTGTGGTAATGAGCGAGGGGGTCTGGCAGGGTGAAAAGGAATGTGCAAGTGAGGAAAAATATATTGCTTCTCCTTAGTGTAAAAAGTCACAAACGGCATAGAAAAGCTGCTGGCTGATGCTTTTGTGCATCCACAGACTTCACAGTGTGACTGCCATGGGTTGTAATAAGGACTTGGAAAGCTGTGGCGTGTTTCAGTTGCATTCAGGTCATTCCCATCATAAGACTGTTTGATCCAATGTGATACAAGTACGCATAACCACATCTGTACGCCAAGCTGCTGCTGACAAAGGAATTCATGGGAAAAGAGCTACACACACTTCTTTGCAGGTTTTATATATTTTTTTTTGTTGTTGTTAAAATGAGTCAGAAGAAAACCATCTGCAGAGAAAGCAGACTTCACTTGCTGAATTGCTGGTGGAATTGCTTGCTATAAGTTGGACCAAGAAATCACTGAATAAGCTGCTCCCTGTGATCACATTTTCTTTCCACATTCCCTGCAGCTGAGAATGGAGCCATATCCTCTCCAATTTATTGTGGAGCATTCTGGTGACTACTACAGCGACTGCTGATATGGGAAGCTCTTTAACCTTTGACAGGATCTGTATGATTTGGCAGCTTCAAGTAAACAAGCCACTTAACACTGCAGCAAATGAGATAGAACGTTTCAAAGTAGGCAGGACAAGTTATTCCTGCTGGAAATGACTGTATGTAAGCAAAAGACCTAGAGCAGTGTAAAGCACGTGGAAGGGAGGAAAGTTTCCCTTGGGAGTCTGTGACAGACAGTTGCAAAGATCTGTTTGCAAGCCCTCTCATAGACAGGGGGAGATTAAGAGTGACAGGGAGAATTAGATTGTTTTCCTGCGAATAATATTTTTTGATGTGCGTGGGTAGAATCTGACAGTGCTTTGTCCAAAGAAATAAATAATCTTTTACATTATTGAAAAAATTCTTCCAAGTTCTCTACTGGAAATAAGGCTAAATCTGGAACTAACTGCTGTTTTTTGTTTGGCTGGTTTTTATTTTATTTTATTTTATTTTTATTTGCCATTGTACATAGGAAATTAAAAAGAAACCACAAACCAAAGCAGACTTTCAACACCCAGGATGAAATGTTCTCAATTTGAGGTTTGAACGTGAGTTTCTGGCTCCCTCCTTGCCATGGATGTATTTTTTGGAAGAACTGGAGGGGATGGTTGGTTTTGCTGTCTGATGGATTTGGTTTGGCTGCCACCAAACTTGAAATGAAAACAGAAGGGGAAAAAGAATGCTATTACAGTTGTAATTCTGTATAGATAATTTACTGAGCACTGAAACTGTTCATGCTCATGAGTGGCACCTCTGATACAGCAGTGACTGGAAAAACTCCTTTGTGAGCAGTAAAACCACCAGATAAGAGATCTGTAGTCTGCCCCTCCTTTGATCCAAGGAAAAATAGTTCCCAGCTGTAGGTAATGATTATGAAGCATTGATGCAGCTCATCAGAATCTGCATGGGACAGTTGGTGCTTGAGGCTACCCAACGCTTTTCTTGTGTTGACTTGAGAATAACTACTTGGAAGTTTTGAACAAAACTTCCTATAAAGGTTAAGTAAGGTCTGCTCAAACATAGCATTTTGATGCTGTAGTATTCAAAATATTGCTTGTAATTCCCAATCACTTTTCTTGTGAAACAGAAGGCAGATTTATCTGCGGCTCCGACTTCAGTTACTGCAGCTTGCTCAAGTAGCATCTTTCAGCAGGTGAAGAATTACAGCTTGTCAGCAGGGAAGTTCTTTCTGTACAAATGACAGCTATGACATGCTTATCTTGCACTTGTTTAGACTTTCAGTCCTGTCATTTCCCCAAACAGTCATCTTCAATTAAATTATTTCCAATATCCTTTATACTTGATTTGGTAAATAATAATAATAATAATAATATGTGATGCTACAAAATGACATCCAAGTGGAATTTATCAGCTTTTAAATATACATGATTGCATATATACATAAATATATATGTATTTAAAAGTTGACAAATCTCACTTGGATGTCATTTTTTAGCATCGTTGCAGCAGATACAGCCCAAGTGACAGTCATACCATCAGCTGATGCCTAGCCATGCTATGCGATTCTGAGTCTCCTGGTACTCAGAATTCTGGTCTAAAGATATTTTCATTTCTCTTCTGGGTATTTATCTTTGTTCTGCAAATGACCCTTAAGCAGTTGCCAGGCAACGGTAACTCAGAGTTTGAATTGAGCCATTTCTTGGCTTGAAGAATGACTCAGTGTAATGGCTTCTGGTTGATTTGTGTGTCATCGGTGTTCAAATTGGAATCAAGCTGTTGTGCACCTCTGTTTAAAATTCTCACTTTTTTCCATGCAAACTGGAAATAGCATTTTGCTTTGTTCTGGACAGTGGCAGCTGATACCATTGGATCTGGGTAGACAGATGAAAAAAATTCTTAATAAGTTTTATTATCTTTTCAAGTATTCCTAATATAAAAAAACCTAATTGCCACTATAGAGAGAACATCTAGCCCCAAGTCTTGTGGGATTTCTCTAGGAGCTGTGTTGGCCACTCCATCTCCTTCATTCTTCTACTGTACATTTCTTTGCAGCCTTCCTACGAAACGATCTGCAGTCATTTGACTGGGTCTTCTTCAGCCTAAGTTTTTATTTGTGCAGTTTTTATAGCCTATTATTTACCCATGAGATTAACATTGTTTTCTGTGATTCTTCCTGCAAATCAGTGTATGTTGAGGCATTCTCCTTCCTAAAGTTCACTCTAGCAGACCTATCTAGCAATGCAGTGGTCATTAGTAAGCTACATTGGTACTGTCTGTCTGCCATTAAGTCAAACCAAGTTGGGTAAACTTATTTATGCAAATGAAGATTCTGTCATCTTTTTCCTGATACGCTTTACAGGTCAGTTCCAGCTTGAGCAAAGCTCTCTGCTTTGCAAAGTTTTCCTGCCAGACTTCTGACTGTTGGATCAATTTTCTGCCCAATTCCTCCGCTGTGCAATAGGTAAATAGCTTTGCATGGCACATATTGAGTTCTACTAAGTTTCTACTCAGTTGTCAAGATATTTTTTATATTGCATCTAGTGTATTCTGTCCGAGAACTCATTTTTTTTCTTTCTTTTTATACCACCCTGTTGCTCTTTTCTGAAAATGAGTTGATTATATTGTTCTAGGTGATGTCTTTATACCTTTCCCTCCAAGCTGGATGCACGGCTGCTTTCTGTTACTACTAAAATGAACTGAGATGTTGGTATATAATATGTGGAATAAAATTTGTTTCTAGACCTGTTTGGAGTAGGACAGGCATCTGGCAGAAGCAACAGGGCTTGTGAATGTTTAAACTGAAACACGTTTTTAGTTGCAGCAAAACTACTCAGTTCAGTTATGAGCTGAACGGGCAGTGCTGTCATTAAATAGTTGTTACAGGCACACGACCAAATGGTTTGGGGCATTTAGATGTTCAGTTTTGATTATTATGGTTTGGTTTTATTTGAACTTCTGTTAGAACAGTTTGCAGCATTAAATTTACGTGGGAAAAAAAAAAATACAGTGGTGAATAGCCAAGGGTTGTGAATGCTGTACGAATCAGAAATAGCCACTGGTGGGAGAAGGGGAGGTTCAGTAGGGCTGTGAGCCTTTGAAGTGGCCAGGAAAGCAGGGGATGTGTGCTTGCCACAAACAAGCCTCTTGCCTGGTCAGTCCTGCTCTATAAGAACCTTCTTGCTTGTCTTTTGCTCATCTTTCCTTGGTTCTTAACCCTGCTCTAATCCCACTGGCTTTGGCCATAACCAAGGGACGTTGAGGAAGACAAAACAGAGGCAAGAGAGCTCTATTGTGTCTAGGCTAGCGAATGTAAGCAAGGAAATGGTAAGGACTGGCAGTAGGATGAACAGCTGCAAAGACATGAGTGATACAATGAGATAAACCTTGTGCCTTCATCAGAGAGCTGGAAGAGGTGTAACTGCTCTTTGCCTCAGAAAATGGCGTGCGTTGCACACATGGTAGAGCAGCAGTCAACAAAGCGGAGACCCGGTGCGAACAGAAGCACTGCTGGGGTGTTGCCTAGCTTTCTGTTTTTGAACTATTGAGTAGAAATAGTTTTGGGGTTAAATATAGATTTCAAAATATAATGCGTTTAGAAGCTTTGCAGGAAAGGTTGGAGCAGAACTGACCTTCATACTGAGTGCAGCATCGCTTGCTCCCTGAGATTTCAGATCCTAGGTCCACAACACAATTAGATTTCCTACATTTATATTCACCTGAGCAAAGTACCAGTTAGCTTCTAAGCCTATTTCACTGCAAGAATGGCCTTAAGTGGCCTTAATCTTTATCATAGGAGGGCAGGATGGGGAGGAAAAAGCTGGAGTGACCACGCAGAATTACTTCTAGCATTATTTGCCTTTCCATTCAGCTGTTCTGTGCTTCCCAGCTGAGACTGGTGTTTCTTTGGATGCTCTCCCCTTTTCAAGGATGGTCTCATGCAAACTGAGAGAAAAAAAAAATAACCATCTTTGGTACCATTGTGTCAAAGTGCAAACCAGCACTGATCAGTCAGTGCTCAGAGGCAGCCGGCAGCCTTTAGTTGGCACGATAACAGTGGCCCAAGATATAAAAAATTAAGGCAGTTAGGGGACATCGTGTGAGAAAAATAATTTATGCCCAAGTATAGACTTTTCCTCTTAGTAAAAATATCGAGCGTTTCATTTTACAAGTTATTTGCATTCGTAGTTGTTTGTTATTTTATGTGCTGGGGAGGTAAGAGGGGAAGTAGTACAGTCTATTAGAGAGTTTAATATGCTGTACAGCAGTATAGTTTATGGAGAGAACGGGTTACAGATTTATGATACTGTTCCTGTAGTAAATGCCATGAATGCAGTGCTCCAGCACAGTGTCACTTAAAGCAAGATGCGAGCCCAGATCCCTGCCAGCCCCTTCCTCAGGTTTTTCTCAGGACAGGTTCCAGGCTCTACACGCTGTTACTTAGTTTTGCTTGATTTGACCTGGAAGCAACATGAGTGATAAAAGCAGAATTTTCGATCATCTGAGAGACAAGATTCTAATAATAAGGGGCTTTTGAGAGAAGATGGCTGCGTGCATCTCCCTACCCTTATTTCTGGCTGCAGTTCCTGAGGGTTTCAGCTGTTCCGAGGAAGTCAGGCAGGGATCTGCAAGGTGTGGAGCCACCCTGGGATCATGGCTGCTGTCACAGCTTCTGTGCAACGTGTGGTTGCTTCCTGTGTTCTGACACACACACAGAATCACAGGGGCTGGAAGGGACCCTTCGAGGTCATCGAGTCCAACCCCCTGCTAAAGCAGGTCACACAGGTAGGGGATCCGTACAGGTCTTGAATATCTCACAGAGGGACATTCCACCACCTCTCTGGGCAGCCTGTTCCAGTGCTGTGTCACCATTACCATAAAGAAGTTCTTCTGCACGTTAGTACAGAAGTTTCCTGGTGTACTGTGACTTTTCTCAACTTCCATGATGGTCAGAGGTAGTTTAAGTGACCCGGTGGAAGAGATCTTCATCAACACTGCTACAAGGTTAGGTAATAAGCTGTGCGTGTTTCCCTTTTGAGTTCGTGGCTTTCAGGGCCACAATTAAAGTCAGCCACCTCTGTATTGCAGAGGTAATATTATAATACAGTAATAAGCATGTCATCTGAAAAAATAATGTGCTTTAAAAAATGGTGACTGTTATTATATCACATTTGCATTTAAGTACGCTGCATTTACTACATTATGCTTGTGTTTAATTAACCTCGTTGCGTAATTTCAGTGTTTAGTTTCACCGTCTTTTTCAGTTCCCTAATTACATTGTTAGCATTTGGATGTGGTTGTCATTATCCTTTCCCCCAGTAACTCCACCTCGCCTGGTTGGTACTTCTCCTTGGCAGCACTCCTACAGAGGGATCAAATAAGTTCTTGTTCTTCTTTTGCACAGTCCAGCTGACTGGACCTGTGCAGGTCTTTCAGTGCTTTCTTGTTTGATATTGCTTATGCAGTACAAAGTTGTGTTTTTCATCCTTTACTGAATTCTTTCCCACTTCTCAGTTTTTCTTAACTTGCAGGCATGATGGCTACGGTCTGTTCTGCAGTTAGAGGCTAACCGGTGTCACATACAGAATTAAAATGGCATCTCTGATTCTCTTCTCTTAGTAATGTGTCTGAGGACAACAGGGTCTTGATTTAATACTTTGAGAGGGCAGGTAGAATGGTTTGTCCACAACAATTTGTAGATCTTTAGATGATTTCTGTGTTTCAACAAGCATCTCATTTTGGGTCTGTGGACCAAATCTTCTGTTTTTAGGTAATTTTCATTTGTATTAAATAGCCTTTGAATGCTTCATGTTTGCTTCCTGTGAAAAACCAGCAAATTTGAGGTGACCAAAGCATCCCACGTGTGTTTGTGGCTACTTAGCTAATTTTCTCTTTAAAACCACTTATTGAATTTTGTGAGAATACAGTAGAAATGTGTTCTTGGATAAGCACTTTGCTTTAGCAAGTTGGGTGCTTCATAGATTCTGATGTTCCTCTTGTGTAGATGAACAGAGGTATACTTCAAGAGACAAAATATTTTTTTTCTGTGAGAATATAGGAACTCCAAATGCCAGGAAAGGCTTTCTTGGTGGTGTCAGGCATTAAATAGCAGTGGTTAGGAGGGGATTTGACCTGTAAACTTGATGCTGGAATGCCGTTTTGTTTAGAGAACATAGGCACATGGTGGTTTGGTTCTGTGGTGATGTTTACTCAGTTACTGAGCAACTCTCACAAGATCTGGTTTTGTAGTAATTTCTACATTAATTAGTAGATTGCTGGGTGTGTTTGGGCTTTACAAGGGCTGCTCGTAGGAGTTGTGTGGGACAGCAGTGTCCTCTTGTTTCTGTCTTTCTCTTGTGTTTGGTTTATACATACTAATGCAATTATGATTGGATCTAGATCTGAGAATAATGTGAAGCCTGAGCTTTTATTTAAAACCTTCAGCTTTTCTCCCGTGTTGCTTCAAGCCCTGCCTTTGAAAGCTGGAGAAAATAGGGAGAACAGATGAAGATTCCAGTATACGAAGTTGCCAGGTTTGTGTTTGGGTCATCAGCGAGTGAGCGATGGGACCTGGAAGCAACATGAATGATCAAGCCAGAATTTAATTAGTTGCTTACATCTGAAGTGATACTAGTTCTGAGCCTGTGCACTCTCATCTGTACTGGTAAATGAGCGGTGCAAGGACATTCCCTGCACCCCGAAGCCATCTGGCATGGTTGGACCATGTCTGCACTGTCACATGTCTCGGCTTCACTGCCTCTAATGCACCCTGACCTGGGCAGTGGAAGCTCTGCAGCTGTGCCCAGCTGTTGTTTAGGCAAATCTGTCTGACTATGGTCAAAAGCATCCTGGAGACCCTAATAGGCACGGGCCAGCACTCAGCATTGGTCTCGATGCTCCAGTCTGTGCTGTGGCACTGGTTTGTATGGGAAGAAGATGCAAAGCTTACAAAGTGGATGAGGGCTTATTGCCTCTCCTCCCTCTGTTTCGTGTCTGCCCTGCAGTGATTTGCTTGGCAGAATAGCAGTGCTGTCACTACATGAAAATGTGAGATCCTTATTTTCAACCTTTATTGCATACCAGCCGTTTACAAAGCAAGTTGACATCTATTTTTGTTTCTCTTTTTCTATGCAAACAAAGAACTTGTGCATCAGAATAAAGGAGAGGGAAATGATCTGTTGTTAAACTTGACAGGGGTTTTGATTTAATATTGTTAGGCTCCGTTCCTGTTTTCAATTAGCTTTGAACTCTGCTCACATGGTGCTGTTGTTCAGTATTTCTGTCAGAAAAAGAAAAAAAAAAAAAATTGCAGCTAGTGTTCAGAAAAGACACAAACCAAGAAATACCACTGAAAGAAACATTCAGCTGCTGAAATAATTTGCTCCTACCGTGTGTTGTTGCTGGAATTGCTTGGTGTAGATAAAAGCATGCTGTGTTTGAGAAAGCAACAGAAAATATCATTAGTCTTCTGAGACCTTTATCAAAGGAAGCTCTATGTTTTGGCTTGTTCCTTTTTTATTATTTTTTTTTAAGTCCTAAAGTGTAAATGCTTTTGTTTCATGGTTCAGAATGAATATCAGGAGGACATGATAGAAATAAGAACATGAAGAAGATTCCACTGAAAGTCAGATTTTCCTGTACACAAAGTGCTAATAGATTTTAAAGGGTGCCAAAACCAACTTTTATCCCTGTGGTGATGGGCAGGACTCTTCAGCAAACATCTGACAGCGTGGGATCGTAATTAAATTGGATGCAGAACAACAATCGCATCCTTTGCAGTTGCCAAATAGTGTCAGTGTTTTGCAAGTGTGGTAGTTTGTATGGATGCTTTCTTTTCCCTTTGATTTTTTCCTTCAAAAAGTGTTCAGTCTATACCTGTTGTCTCTTTTTACATAGGCCTTCTGCAAAGTCATATACATGTACTATTTTCCCATGTTAGTGTTGCAGTACAGCCTTTGTTTGGTGCATCCATGTACTCTCCACCCAAAAGGAGGGATTTTGGCGTACACATATTTTTCCAGTACATCTGCATAATGGAAAGTCTTTACCTTTAGGAAGATTTGCTAAATATTCTTTGTTCTTCTTAATTTGGCAGATACAGAATTGTATGATCGTAAAATTATTAAGGTTAGAGAAGACCTCTAAGACCACATAGTCCAACCATCAACCCATGACCAACGTGCTAACTCACATAATCATTAAGGTTGGAGAAGACCTCTAAAATCACTGAGTCCAACCATGTATGACACGAATGATACAGAATCACCCGGAGATGAGACCAGGAGGTGTTTAAATCACTTGTGTAGAGGTCTAAGTAGATAATCCAAAACTGCTAACCTTGTATTTCCTGCCAACTTGACTGTCTTTCTGAGCTATATATTTGCTTAATATTAAAAAAAAAAAAAAAAACCCTTAAAATTTCAATATCTGTGTAAGCAGAAATTCTTTAAACGTATCCACAAAATGGTGGCTAATCTGTTAGTGATGTTTTTAATTAAGGACTTCTCATGACCATTAGCCCCTGGGGAGGCATAGCGTATAGCTGACAAAGGGCTCTGGAAGAGGTGGCCCATTAGCTCTGCAGAGCCTTGTGTTACCTGAGTGAAGCGAGGAGACTGAAGAGCTGCAATTATTTCTTTGGGTAAGGGAAGTTAGATGTTACAATAAGGTTGTTTCAAAGATGCATCAAAAGAGCAAGATCAGAAAAGTTGGTTGCGCACACGTAAGGGTTTTGCAATGAAAGCTGGCCCATATCTGTGTGGCTAAGTGTGGTAGTTACCATACGTATATAGTGCACGTGTAATCCGGGTTGGGCAGCACATGTGAATCTGAGAAGATGGGTATTTGGGGTTTTAGGGTGCAAACAGCTGTCCAACTCCCCTGAGATGACAAAAAAAAATAAAATCAGGCAGCGTCTAGCCAAGTCGTGCTGACCCTACACAGGATTAGGATATGCATGCAAGATGGTTAGCTGTCAAATAAAATTGCTTAAAGAAGTTGGCCTTCCCTGCAAATTGCTTTGCAGTAAGGTAGTGCACCTCGCTGAGGGCAGACTTTGTTTCTTGTTGACTTTCTTTTTTTTAGGAATCGTAAAATGTGTTTTTACGCTTCTGGGAGTTGCATGTAGTCCAGTGATGATTTTTCCTTGTAAGTTTGCCATTGAATAAGTGAAAATAATAAAGAAATAATTTGAATGCTATCTGAGCTGCTTTAAGGTATCCTCCATTGCAAGTTTTACTGGAAGAAATACGGAGTAAAATACAGTTCTACAATTCAAACTTCTATAAACTTCCTTTCTGTTGTGAAGTATTGCCCAACAGCAGCTAAAATCCCCTTAGTCCCATGCCCCCGAGTGCTTACTGCCAATGTAACCTAGTACATAACCTATTGCCTAGCAGAAATTAAAATGAAAATGAGGTACTGAAAGTTTTGTTGGGGAAGTCTGAATTGTATTGTGCATTTATACGTTGTAAAAGAAGTCAAATCTTTTTTTTAACTACTATCATACGCATAAGCTGCCACCAAAAATTGAATAACACCATGACCTCGAGCGTTGCTTGTCAAAACAGTTGTCAAAGGTGAGTTGAGTGAAGTTGATTGCTTTGGCTGACTTTTTAGCTGAACCTTTAGAGCATTCAAAATAGAAAGATTTTATCAGGTGTGTTTTCTTCATAGAGGGTATTACCAGAAGTCGCATCATGAATCATAGAATCACCAAGGTTGGAAAAGACCT